GTTCGGCGCACGAGCACCCTCACGCCGCCTCTTGGCTCCGCCGGCGCGCTTTCCGCCCCCGGCGTTCCTCCGCCGGACTCGTTATTCTCGCCGCTCGCCTGGTAGCCCCAGGAGGAGCCTCCGCCCGCAGCTGCGCGCCCCGCCGCGCTGCTCCGCCTTCTCTCTTGTCTCCCGTGGCGGCCGGTCGTGGCGTGTAGTATTTTGCAGGTGTCTCTTACTGTGTTTTTCCCGTGAATGTCCCCTCGTAAGCCGGCTGGTCTAGAGGCTGTGGTACGTTTACGTGGTAGGGTCTGGCCTGTAGGTCAGCAGGAGCTCTCAGTGTACGCCTGGGCGTCTCCAATACTGAAGCTTTATCCAAATCAGCCTTAAGACTACTTTTTCTAGATCATGTTTTGTACCAAAGATTACATCGCTTAGCACTATAGAGACATGTCAAGCTTAATTTTTTGGTTTTGTTTTTCGTCTTTTCAGAAAGCAATCAAGGAAAAGGACATACCCATTGAAGGCCTGGAGTTCATGGGCCCAAGCAAAGGAAAAACTGAAAACTCCTCTTGACCTCAACTGTATGGATGGAGTCGCTAATGTGAGGCTGTGGACTGAGCAACATCACCAGGCATAAGACTAGATGCCACCCGGATAAGACCTTTGTTAAGCTGCTTTCTAGGAAGCGAGGAATCTTCTCCCGCTTGTAAAAACAAACAGCCACAAAAAAAAAAAAAAAGGAAAGAAAAAGGCTGGATCATGTGGTAACTGCTGCCTCCTTTTCAATGAATTTTGGTGGTGGTTCAGCATCTAAAACAGTGTGAAAAGCCGTTTGAACTAACTTCCTATTGAATGTACCCTATAATGGGAGAATACTTATTACTAGAGTGGGCTGAGATAGTAGTTGCTTTGTGACCAGTTTCTCTTGCTTATTTATATAACACTTGAAAGTGTTTAAAAGGAGTATGAAGGAGGTTGATTTATTTTGTCTTATCTCTATGCTGCTGAATTTTGGTGGAAGAAGTTTGTTTTATATGATCCGGAACGCTGAGGGGCTAAAGCATTGTTTTGTATCAGCAACAGAGATGGTATAAAAGCACTCTATTGGACCTGCAGTAACTTAGCTAAAATAAATATAACCAGGTTATATTTTGTTCAAGTAGATAACTGTCCAGTAGAATCTGATTGTGACCTCTAGGAGGGACGGAGATGGCCTGCAACAGAAGCTGGACACTTTTAATGGAGAGGCTACTTCTTCAGTCTTTTCTGAGGTGCTGAAACAATCCTGAACTTGAATTCTCTCTCCTTTG